ATCCCATAGGAAACAGAAATACTTTTATCGTGGACGTCTGGACTGGGACGAGAACTCTTCAGCAGGACGATACGTCCGAGAAAACTGCAAACCTTTACGGGTAAGTAACAGACTGTTTTGGGGCTTCATATTTAAGTCTTCTGATTTAACTTTTGTTTTCCCTTTTTTTTTTTATAATATATATTTTTTAATGAATACAACTGAAGTTTTAATATATGTGACCTTATTTGGCCTGGAAAGCAAATGTAATAGTGAATAGTGGATATAAATTAGTTTTAGAATGTTTATATAAATCTGGGCGGTCATATGTTAATGTTCTCATACAGTGTTCTTTATCTTTCTTCTCTCTCTCTCAGAGATATCTTCTGTCTGAAGCTGAAGAGCATCACCAGCTCTGCGATCTGATCGAGGCCATGCTGGAGTATGAGCCGACGAAGCGTCTCACTCTGGCTGCAGCCCTGAGACATCCTTTCTTTCAGAGCACCATCAGCAGCGCTGACCAGAGCACCGGCAAGAACTGGGAGGGCAACCGCGACATCAGTCGGTGACGGTGACATTCGTCTTCAACCAACGTCTCTCTCTGTCTTACGCCAAAAAAAACCTGAGGACTCGCATGCCAAGAAAGATACCATGGAGCTGAACTGACATGGCATAAAGTTTTATAGTGCAAGAGAAGCAGAAGCATATGATTTCTCAGTCATCTTCCCATGATGTGAGAACAGCTCCGTGTGCAGCGGGACAATGTGAGGAACTTGGCACTTCTAGAAGATCCTAGTAAACCATGACGTCATGCTTGTACGTGATTGATTGGACATTTGGAGGGTTTTTGAATAAATATGCCCTTCAAGTTCAGTTCTTCCAGCCAGTTGTGGCTAATGGTATTGTTGGACAGCCATAAGCAGGGGAAAATGTATTTGATGGGGGGGGGGGAAGCATTAACGTTACACTCCATTTGAGAAAATAACTGACAAAACAAGCATCACTGTTACAATATAGTTATTTTTGGGCTAATCTGTTTTGTGCATTTTAGCCCTTAGCTAATAATCGCAGATGCATTATAACACACTGTTTGTATTCGGTTCAATTCAAACCAAGTATCAGAGCAGCTGTGTTCCGGTGATTGTGTCCCTCAGCACACGTTTACAGTATTTATTTAGTTATCCGGACGTCTTATTTTGTGTGTTTGTATGGATTCGACTGTATAAATTTGTAAATACGAATAAATATATGTTATGACTATAGAATAAAGGGCCTATCTGTTTGCTTGCTGTGAATGTGTTTTCACAGCGGCTCTCCAGGCAAAATTAGTATTATTATTCCTTTATTTAACCAGGAAATCACATTGAGATATTGCTATCTCTTCTTCCAGTGAGACCTGGTCAAGACGGCAGCACATAAAGTTTCATACAAAAAGAATCACAGAGACAGTACCACAAATTACACAATCACAATTGATAAATAAAATCAGATCATGAAAAACAATTACAAGTATCCTTTAAAACAAAAAATGTTTTTACAATCACACCGTTCTCATGTCGTTTCTATATTGACTGTGTGCAGATGATATTCTGCTGAAATGAATTAAACTTTTGGCACTTGATTGGGAGTTAGTGCAGTGCTTTAGCTTGAGTTGAACGCTATGAAACTCTGTCTTCTGCTCTTTATCATCCTTTGGCTTTACAACTCAATTACAGAAAACATGGAATTCACAGTTTTCTGTGGTCTTTAATAAGCATATCTCTCAGGAATATTTGGAAGCTCTTGAGTATTAAATCATACAATTTTTCCATTCAATCTTAATATTTTATCTCTAATGGATATGAGGCATGCATTTAAAGAAATAGTTTACCCAAAAATGAAAATTTACTCCCCCTCAGGCCCTCCAAGATATAGATGTTTGGTTTTTTATCAGAACGGATTTGGGGAAATTTAGCATCACATCACTTGCTCACCAATGGATCCTCTGCAGTTGAATGGGTGCAAACAGCTGATAAAAACATCGCAATAATCCTCAAGTAATCCACATGACTCCAGTCCATCAGCTAATGTCTCCTGAAGTGAAAAGATGTGTGCTTGAAACCGTCATCTTGTCTGAATCAGGAGATAAATATGAACAGATAAAGAACTGTTTACTAGCATCTACTAAAATTGCTCTGTGCAAATATGTTGGTGGACTTTTATGTGAGAGGACAACAGGGAATTTACTTTTTCACTGGAAGAAGCTTTGTTATGGATTATGGATTCGTATTTGGTCCAGAACCATGAGTTTAAAGTTACCCCTCAGGCCCTCCAAGATATAGATGTTTGGTTTTTTATCAGAACGGATTTGGGGAAATTTAGCATCACATCACTTGCTCACCAATGGATCCTCTGCAGTGAATGGGTGCAAACAGCTGATAAAAACATCGCAATAATCCTCAAGTAATCCACATGACTCCAGTCCATCAGCTAATGTATCCTGAAGTGAAAAGATGTGTGCTTGAAACCGTCATCTTGTCTGAATCAGGAGATAAATATGAACAGATAAAGAACTGTTTACTAGCATCTACTAAAATTGCTCTGTGCAAATATGTTGGTGGACTTTTATGTGAGAGGACAACAGGGAATTTACTTTTTCACTGGAAGAAGCTTTGTTATGGATTATGGATTCGTATTTGGTCCAGAACCATGAGTTTAAAGTTAAAACACCTTAATGATGGATTTGTTTCTTTCAAACATGCAACTTTTTACTTCACAAGATGGTAGTTGATGGACTGCAGTCGTGTCGGTTACTTGTGGATTATTGTGATGTATTTATGACTCTCATTCTGACGGCACCCATTCACTGCAGTGGATCCATTGGTGTGCAAGTGATGTAATGCTAAATTTATCCAAATCTGTTCTGATAAATAAACTAGCTCATCTACATCTCGGATGTCCTAAAGGTGAGTAAGGCCCCGATCACACCGAACGCGTTTTTTAGGTCTGAAAACGCGAGGCGCACCGCACTGACTTTTTTTTTTTTATTGTCTGCGTTTTTTTATGTTGCTAGGCAACCACCAACTCCGCTGTCCTGTCCATAGACATAATAAAAACTTATTTTAAATGCAAAATAGATTTTCGTGTGCTCGAAATACTTTCTTCTTTGCGAGACAAACATTTTCTCCACAAAACTCAGTTCGCGCGCGTGCAAAACGCACTTTTTGCGCGCTCAAAATATGATCTTTCGCGCGCAGAATTGCGGCAGAAATGTAATCCCATACATTGCAGTAATGCAACAATGGCACTGATTCTAAAAATATGAAAACATAAACATGTCAGGAGCAAAGATATGATGGATGATGAAAGAATGAAAGATTCCAGAGATGTATTAAGATATTTTTTTGTTTTTATTGGCCCTCATTTCCTCATTCATGGCCAAAAGATTTAAAGAGCACAGCTTAGTAGACACTAGACAGTCACAGTAAAGCTCTTCTACAAGCACCTTTTCTCTGACCAGCCATTAAGCTTTATTTAGAAAGCATCACTCTAGCCGACTCGCAGTCATTTAGTCATTCCAAACCTATTGTCAAATGAGAAACATAGACTAAAACATACCCAACATACAACCTGAATACAGTATTTGCTAAAGAGTGCAAAAAATGAACTTAACCACATTTCCACCTAATGAACAGCAACAGTTCACGTATAATATTTCATGGATAAAATTTGCCATGCAATGGACAAAATGCTCATACTAGAGTGTCTTTGGCCCAATAAGCTAACATGTATTAGTAGAAAATAATATAATATGTTTTCATGAATCATTTTTAATTACTGAAGAAATGACTGTAATGTCAAATTGTGAATGAACTCGAAACAGGTTGTTTGAGGCTAAATAGTGTAACAGCTGTTGAGGTTAAAAATGACTTTGTCACGTCATTCGTTCAACACGGACTTCATTCACATGTTTATCTCATGTTGTCTGTAAATCTCCTCAATCTGTTTTCCCTCCTACCTTCCCATCTGCTGGGAGGAAAGATCTTACCCTTAATCTGTTAAGATCAATAATCATACAACAGCTATTTCTCTTCAACTGTTTAAGTTACTGTAAGTCTAAAGAAAAACAGGTGGCCAACTTCACCATACTAAAATATAGATTTTTACACATAGTTGTAAATTAAATGATATTAGCAGCACCATGTCAGTGGTTGACTGTGAAACTCCCACCATCACTAATGTGATTAGGTCTATAATCTGTTAAGTCATTTGGGAATTAGCTGGGACAGATGCAGGGAGGGAGCTGGCTTTAAAAACATGTAGCTCAACAAGACTGTTGGAAAGCTAGCAGATGGTGCCTGAGTTTGGACGTCAGGTTCCTCGGATCAAATGATGTGCATCTGAAGAGTTTCAACAGATATCAGGTAAGTCGGACCTTTATGCGTAATGATTTTCTGTTATTATGATCCATGAAGAACTTAAGATTGTATTATATTATTTTATTCTATCTACTATACTTACAATACACAACTAAATAAGTGCATTTTCACGAGTGATTATCAAATGTGATAATAGATTATTTTAGTTCAATTATCTATATTACTTTATTATATTAACTGTTTATAAATTCAGTGCGTTCGACATAAGGATGCATTTATTTATTTGTACATTGTAAGTAAAGTAGATACGTGATATGTGTAGATATGTGATTATCACATGTAAGTAGCATTTTTGCAGAATACAGTATGTATAAGATTTGGTAAGATTTTTTTTAAAAATGTTTTTGAAAGACGTCTCTTATGCGCACCAAACCTTTGAATAAATACTGTATTTATGATTACATACAGTAAAAAGAGTAATATTGTGAATTTGTGAATATATTGTTTTAAAATGAATGTGTAGCATAGGCTACAGCATATTTCTGCACACGCGCAGAATGTATTTCTAAAGCTCGCAGCAGCCTCAGGTAAATATACCTGTGAGCCTCCAGCGGATTCAGTGTCCTCTAGCACAGGTTGGCCCCGCCCATTTCCTCCCCAGCCGCGCCGCTGAGGTGTTCTCTCCTCTACCTGTTCATCCCGACAGCTTGCTGAACAGATAACACGCATGTGTCAGCAGAGAGGGAGATAAAAACAGCGCCTGCTTTCAAGAAGCCGATTATACACAAACCTCCGCGGGTTTCATCGCGTTCTCTAAATGACGCGTGATTTGACGACAAGACAACCCGCGCGCTCATTCTGAGGAGGTTTTGCCAGCGCGCGACATGGTTTACGTGTGGAAAGTGGATACGGGGGAATAATATTGACAATAGATGCACTTATTCCCAGAGGAACTTTTCAAGGGCAGATGGATTCTCCTCGGAAGTTTTGGGATCACGCGAGAGTCCGTTTGCACGGGTAAACTCACAGTAAATACGGTAAATGGACATGTTTGGGCTTTTTGAAATGCTAGTTGAGACCTAATGCTTTGTGTTCATATATTACTAGAGAAAGAGTTTAAAACGAAGGTTAAGTTTGCATTATGAGTATTTAAAGAAAAATTAACAAATACATTCATCTTAAATAAGTGTTAAAATCATATTTAGACCTATTCATATTAAAAAGTTTTTGTATACAAACCTTACATGGTTTCCAAATACAAAAGGATTCTGAATTTGGAAAGCATCATGTCCTCATTCTCTTCTTGTGACTCCCATCTGCCAAACTAGTCATCAACCTGAACCTGCATTAACATCAGATCTGAATTATGGATGGTGATGGACAGCCTCCGGCTTCAAATTGTGACTCGAAGCTCTGCTCCAGAGGTGGCTTCTCCCTAAACAACTGGCGTTCCTCTTCGAGGACTTTACTGCGAGGAGGAGAGGATGTGAGCCGAAGGCTGCTGTCCGTTGTGAACCACCAGGAACGCACAGACTCGGGGTCCAGTCCCACCTCAAAATCCCTTGAGGTGACCGCAGGGTTAGATGGCACAACAGCAACCACCACCACCTCCACCGTGACCACATCCACTCCGCCTCGCCTCAACAAAGCCATGGCAGAGTCAGCAGGGCCTGCGGGAGCCCCTCAGCCATCCGAATCAGAAGAAAGGGTCTTCACTGACCAGTCTACATTTATCCAGAGACAGTTCAGCTCCTTGCTGCAGCCAGGGGTCAACAAGTTCTCACTGCGAATGTTTGGGAGTGCAACGGGTGTTGCAGCCGAGCAGGAACGGGTCAAGTCATTTGGGGTTTGGATTATACATCCATATAGTGACTTCAGGTGAGTGACGCAGGGGAAAGGGAAAATATGACTTGGCAGATCATCAAACAAGGGTAGTGTTGTTGTGAATGTCACAGTAGTCTTATAAGCAAATTTATTTGATTATAGTAATTTGAGCATAGTAATTTTAGGAACAAAATTAATGCTTCTTCTTCTTTTTTTTTAAATACTCTAAATAATTTTTAAGTCAAGCCAACAGTCGTGTTATTGTGTTTGTTCAGTCCAAGTAGGCTACTGAAAAAATGAAATGGGTTTGTGGTTCTAATCCGTTCCACCTCTCCCCAGCATGCATTGGGGCATGTATGATTATGTTTGCTAGTTTTATTTGCACAGCTGCTGTTTATTTTGCTGTTACGTTTTGTAGCTTGTCAGGATGAGTTAGTGGTTAAAATGATCAGTTGATTGTTGCATTTGTGTGGCATTTAAAGTATTTCATTTTGTTTTTTCATCTTATGTGTTTTCATGTTACACTTTGCTCTTCCAGTGTTATTTTAGTATAATAGATATACTATTAAAATATTTCTTAATATTTGGATTTAGTTTTTATTTTTGTATTTTTAGGTACTTTTTTTTTTAAATGTACATTTTTAAAAATGTCTATTAAGGTTTTATTTTTAGTTTGTAATTTCAACTTCAACGTAGACATGCTTCAACATGCTTCAGATTAGAAATGTTGCCTTAGTTACTAACTAAAATAAAATAATGTTTAAAAATATTTTATTTCAGTTAACATTTATATCAGTTAACACATTTTTATACATAGGCCTATTTTGTTTTAGTTAACTATAACAATACTGCTCCATGAATATAGAAAACATGAGATGAAGCACATAATTGTGAATAATTTAACTCTAAATATAGAGAATAATTTGCATAGAACTTTTTCTGAACTTGATACAGTGCATGAGATCTTTTAATTATTTAATATAAACTGGTAATTGTTACAATGATGCAAACTTTAATTCATGTCAACAAAGGCAAACAAACTGTCAGTTTGCGTACTCAAATTTTTTATTTTATTTATTTTAGTTTTTACAGAATCCCGTCAACAATTATTAGTGGTGCTTCACTGTTAGTCTTGCACATACTTAGGGTGAGGAGTGTTACATTTCGGTGCTCACGTTATGCAATTTGTTGATTCAGAATTAAAGGGGTCATATGATGTTGCTAAAAAGAACATTATTTTGTGTATTTGGTGTAATAAAATATAAACGAGGCATTTGTTGCATCCAGTGGGGACATAATTACAGATTATAATGACTTATACTGTCTTTTTACTCGTTGCGAGATTAATAACATTTTTGGAGAAAAAAAAATGCATTGAAAGAGGCTCCTGGAACCAGAATTTTATAGAAACTTAAGTGTGGACCTAGTATCATGTGGGCGACTTTTAAAAAAAAAAAACAAGTACCTCTCACATTTTCTTCAGAATTGGTAAAAATATTTAAAAAGTTAGGGTGGTTGATATATAACAATAGAGAATAGCAGTGATGTGAGAAAACACCTTGCAATTACATGTCATTTTCATTGCTGTCAATAATCACATCATGTCAACAAGCACTTCCGCCTCAAATCAGGACCTTAAAGCACAAACCTTTCAATCACCACAGTAAAGCACAATGCAACACAGGTCAGTTACAGAGCTTTCCCTTATAGAGTTACCATTAGCCGGAAAGGGTATCAGCGTTCATGGATGGGCTGGAAAGACCCACTTGGTTACAGAGTGTCATGTTGATGTTCTTTGTCTGAAACACGTACGCAGAGAAAGCAGCAAGATGTAAAGGGATAAACAGATTGTGTTTTCAGAAAGCAAGACATGACCGGTAATAGGAACTCAATCTCTACACCTTTTTCATACACAGAGCTCAAAGAGAAAAAGATGTTTGCATAAGTAGGAGATCAAAACAAAAATGTTTGAATCTTTAATCCAATTTAATGAGGCACTAGAATCACCAGTTACATGTCTTATTTTACCATAATTTGTTACATGTGCCAAATCTTTCTTTTAGTGACAGTAAAACAAACCCTTGAGCCAATTACTCCTGTTTTATCAACATGGATCAATTGTGTACTAAATTTCCAAGCTGAGTTGCTGGTAACACTGTTTTTAATTACTTTACTTCAACTCTATACTTACAGATAACATTAAACACTATTTTGTTAAACTAAGAACATCTACTTTTACTCTTTTTAACAGGAAAATGTGACGATGAAGGTGAAAAGATCATTTATCATAGATAATTTTAAAAAATCTGTTTATTTAGTTTGTAATTAATTTAATTTAATTTTTAGTAATTGTACTACTTCCAACCAACTTAAACCAAATGAAAAATTTAAATGTTGCCTTGGCTACAAATTTAAGTAAAATATGTTAAGTTTTTTAAATATTTTATTTCAGTTAACATTAAATAAATGTGTTAAAATATATTTTTAGTTTTAGTTAATGATAACAGTACTGATATATGTATATTTCTAATAGAAAATATGATGAAGCACATAATTGAGAATAATTTATATGTAATTATAGATAATTAATTGTAGAAAAATTATTATTATAATATTGATGTTTTAAACTGGGATTTTTGCTTTTGCACTTTTTACTGGGGAAAATATGATAAAGGTGAAAAGGTCATGATCTATTACAACTTGAATCGGTAGTTGACTGATATGAGTATGAGTATAAGACTGATATGTGTTAATAAGCTATCTAAAATTAAACTCTTTCACTGGAAAAAAATATCAATGCTGTCAGTAGATTTTAGCCACAGATTTATCATCTTTGTCACAAGAAATATCATAGAGTGCGTGAAAGTCGTCAGTTTCTTTTAGTGTCAAACCTACCTAGAGCTCAGGTCAATCGTTGTCATCACTGGAATTGCCTGATACTCAACACAACTTCCATTTTATTTACTCTTGCGTTAATTCTTACATCAAATGGCAACCATATGATATAAATCAAATTCAAGAAAGTGTATTAAAAATGCCCATTCATTCCAGGTGACTGACGCTGCTTTGGAAAATATGACCACAGATGGAAACTTCAAACCACCAAGCACATGTACGGTAGTGCGTTAAAGGGCACATATCCAGTTTAAACAGTCGCATTCTGTACAGTATGTTCATGACTCTCCCATAACCACTTTAGTAATTAACATGAAGAGGAATGTTTTGCAACACGTGTAATTGACGGAATTAGCCTGTTTGCTCAAAGTCGTCAATACTTATTTGAATGAATGTCTTATATTGCGCTTGAGCATTTGAATCAAACTTTATGTCCATGATGGTTTAATTTGTAATACCAGACATGCTTTACAGAGTCACATATTTGTTTCTTAGAAAATAATCTTTTAGTTATCTGCAAACTTTGGGCTGGTTGAATTTCTTTCCACGAAACATGTGATGTTGCCATAGGATGGTGTCTAATTAAGTTACAGGGACAGTCGCCCTATAGCGCTCTGAAAGACTGGTTCAAACCAGCGACCTTTAGGTTATCGGCCTGGATCTTTAAACCACAAGGAATAACGGATTGAATTTTTCTCTGCTTTGTTTTTAATAAATTTTTGTAACCAATGTTGTTTAGTTTCGAGGCAACATTAGCTGCAAGAAAGCTTCAAAATTCATTCAAAAGAGCAAAATTATTAGTGTTTAGATTATGGATGAATGACACATTGCTTATTGATTGTTATTAATTTTCTTATATTTTTATTTATATTTTATTATTTATATATATATATATATATATATATATATATAGTATTAAATGTCTTATATATATCTTTTCATTTAGCATATTTGTACATTTAGATTAGTCATCTAATTGCATCTAACATGCTCTTTTACATTAAAGGGGTCATATGATGCTATTTTAAAGATCATTATTTTGTGTATTTGGTGTAACTTGCAACTTTACAGATCTTCTTTATGCACCAAGAGCTTGTAACACTCCAAAGAGAAAGGAAAACTTGAAATCGCATCATATGACCCCTTTAATATTTAAGAACACTAACAATTTATTAACTGTTAAATATAGCAAAATTCTGCAACTCAAAATGAATATCCATTTTTCATACTGTACAATATAATGCTGTGATGCCTACGTTCACTTGTGATTTTAGTTTTTAGTATTTTATTTGTCATTTATTTTGAGAAAATATTGTAGAATTGTAATATTGACTATTTATCAGTTATTGGCCATAATATATACAAATAATTATATTAAATATATTGGTGCATTGGTGCATCCTTTAATTTGAATGACATGGTTGATTGTAGTTATGAATTTTAATGAACATACTCTAGAATCCATCTTTTGTTCCTTACATCATGCATCTTCACACAGGTTCTATTGGGACTTGGTGATGCTGTGCCTGATGATGGGCAACCTCGTCATTCTGCCATGGGGCATCACCTTCTTTGAGGATCAGAACACACTGCCGTGGATCACCTTCAACGTGGCCTCTGACACTCTCTTCCTGGCTGACCTCGTCTTCAACTTTCGTACCGGTATTATGGAAGCCGACAACACCCAAATCATCCTGGACCCACAAGTGATCAGTCGGCGTTACCTTCGAGGCTGGTTTCTGGTGGACTTCATCTCCTCCATTCCGGTAGACTACATCTTCCTGGTGGTGGATATAGAAGCCCGGCTTGAGTCGGCAGAGGTGTACCGCACTGCCAGAGCTTTGCGCATCGTCCGCTTCACCAAGATCCTCAGTCTGCTCAGATTGTTGCGCTTGTCCAGACTTATACGTTACATTCATCAATGGGAAGAGGTGAGCAAAAGAACAGGAAGAGAAAAGGATAGAGGAATTTGAGACTAGAATAGCAAAGGAAATATAGTTGCAGAAAATTTGCCAATTTGACTTTTGTCTGAGGGATACAATAAAATGCACCATGACACTGAATTTTAGAATGACTTGCAAATCAAGCACAACAATATTCCAATGACAAGCAATTTGTCCATCCATAACAAACTGATTCCAAAAAATCAGTCTCTCCTCATCCATGTTTGTTGTTAATATACATGAGTAGTAATACTTCAGTTTAATGAGTTTTTAGTGTTTTTTTACATTTACATTACATTTGCCAGCATATAACAATCATTTAAAGATAAAGTTTAAATGCACAGATTATTTAATAACACTGTTAAATGTAAATTTTTTTTAAAAATTAAATCTAAAATTTTTAGCTAATCTCAAGATGAATTTTTATTTGGACTAATTTAAGCTCATTTTTATTTAGTTGATTTTGAACTACTTTATAATGTTGTGATGCCTAAATACCCTTGTAACTTTTAAAGTGATTGATTTTTGTCTTTGGTGTTTAATTTTCTTTATTTATTTAGAATTTTAAAATGCCGTTTATCAGTTATAGCCCATAACTTGAAAATAATTCAGAGAAAAGGTACGTTCACTTTAGATAAATTTTGTGGGCAAAATAGATTTCTCTCTAGAAAGCAGATTCCTGTTGATCAACGTGTCAAATTTGTGTGACCAACTTGAACCTGTTGTGAAATCTGGGGGGAAATCTTTTGCCCTCATGTGAAATTCATGATTGTATGGATTCCCAATCTGTTTTTTAAGTCTTATGTCACATCACCATTTCCAGGTACAAACACTTTATCAAATGTCAAAACCAAACAACAAATGGTGGCAATATACACACACAATGCGCTGTAATGCTGACAATTCATGATCCTAACATTTATCTCCATATTGAAATCTCAGATGGCCAGACAGTGATTAATCTTATATGAATAATTAAAATATTGGTGTGTGGGACACCGTGTTAGCCTTAAGGATATCTATATGCTAATGTGCTCCAAAACATTGATATACAAGATATATGATAAGGTGTAAGCATTCAAAACTTTTCACAGTCTCTCTCTTCTGCCAATAGTCAGTCAATTCACCTTTATTTATATACCGCTTTATACAATACAGATTGTGTCAAAGCAGCTTTACAGTGTCAAAAAGGAAAATAGTTCGTCAATAATGCAAGAGGACAATAACAAAAAGTCAATTTTTCAGTTAAGGTCAGTCCATTGATGATTCAGCAATTTCATCATCCAGTTCAGCTCTCTTCCGATAGTGTCTGTGCAGTCAAGCCGACAAAATTGCCAGAAATTAAGAGTCCCCAACTAAGCAAGCCAAAGGCGACAGTGGCAAGGAACCAAAACTCCATCTGTGACAGAAATGGAGAAACAAACCTTGAGAGAAACTCCTCTGGCCAGACAAAACCAGTATGGTGTGGTTTAATTCCAGGCTGCAACACAAGTCAGATTGTGCAGAGGACTCGTCTGGTTCCCATGGACTTGTCCCGATGGCCGTCTAGTTGACGAGGTCTTCGCAGGGGATCTGTCTCTGGGGCGCATTTGGTTCACATGGTCTTCGCTGACATTCAGGGCTGTAGAGGTCGTCTCTAGGTGCTGATCCACCATCTGGTCTGGATATGGATTTGATCTGGGTGGCTACGGTGACCTCAGAATAAGAATGAAATAGACTAATATTAGCATAGATGCCATTCTTCTTACGATGTAACAAGTACATCGGGTGTTATGGGAAGTGTTCCTGGTTCCAGTTGACCTAATTAATGCAGCCAAACAATCCTTTAACGGATTTATAGAAATGTGATAGTTTGGGTGCTAAATAGGAAAATATTCTGCCGCCTGCAGTTGATTTTGATATTCTAGGTATTATCAAATTTCCAGAGTTTTGAGATTGCAGAGGAAGTGAAGGACTGTAAAGTGATATGAGCTCACTCAAGTACTGAGGAGCTAAACCATTCAGGGCTTTATAAGTAATTAGCAAGATTTTAAAATGTATTCGTTGTTCTGGCTAATATGGTCATACTTCCTGGTAGGTAGAACTCTAGCTGCTGCATTTTTGGTCAGCTGGAGTTTGTTTATTAAGCACGCAGAGCAACCACCCAAAAGGATTACAATAATCTAACCTTGAGGTCATGAAAATTCATGCGTATGAATTAACGTTTCTGCATTTGACATTGAGAGCATAGGTTGTAATTTAGTTATATTTTTAAGATGGAAAAAAGCAGTTTTACAAATGCTAGAAACATGGTTTTCAATGGAAAGATTGCTGTCAAATAGCACACCTAGGTTCCTAACTGATGACGAAGAATTGACAGAGCAGCCATCAAGTGTTAGACAGTGTTCTAGATTATTACATGAGGGCGTTTTTGGTCCAATAATTAACACCTCTGTTTTTTCAGAATTTAGCAGTAGGAAATTACTAGTCATCCGTTTTTTTTATATCAACTATGCATTCTGTTAGTTTTGCGAATTGGTATGTATCGTTGGGCTGCAACGAAATATAGAGCTGAGTATCATCAGCATAAAAGTGAATGCTAATCCCATGTTTCCTAATGATATCTCCCAAGGGTAACGTAAAGCATGAAAAGCAGCAGTCCTATCACTGAGCCTTGTGGTACTCCACAAGTTTATACAATTCTTCCTGTCCTATAGTAGAGAATGAGTGGAATTGTACCTCTGGGGATCTATAGCGCACTGTCTGATGCGATACTGTAGCTGATGGCTGCATGGTTAGAATTTTATCTCTAATAGTATCAATCTTGGAAGTAAAGAAGTTCTTAAAGTCATTACTGCTGTGCTGTTCGGAAATGTCTGCGCCTGTTGATGCATTTTTGTTAATTTAGCCACTGTATTGAATAAATGCTGGGAGTTGTGTTTGTTTTTCTCTGAAAGACGAAAAGTAACCAGATCTAGCAGTTTTTAGAGCTTTTCTATAAGTAGAATTACTTTCCCTCCATGCAATACGAAATACCTCTAGTTTTGTTTTCTTCCAGCTGCACTGGAAGTGCACTGCACTCCATTTTCCAGGCTGCTCTCTTTAAGGTGCGAGTGTGCTTTTTATACCACGGTGTTGGACTGTTTTCCTTAATCTTCTTTAATGAGCAACTGTATCTAAAATGCTAGGAAAGAGAGAGCCCATAGTTTTTGTTACAACATCAAGTTTTTCTGAAATACTGGATTTGCTGAGGAATTGAGACAAGTCAGGAAGATGATTTAAAAACAGTCTTTTGCTGTAGAAGTGATGGTTCTACCATATCTGTAACAAGGAGTTGAATTTGCAGCTTTAGCTAAATGGCATATACACAAGAATATAATGATCCAAGATATCATCACTCTGCTGCAGAATTTCAACGCCAATAACATTAATTCCATGTGACAGTATTAGATCTAAAGTATGATTACAACAATGAGTAGGTCCTGACACGTGTTGTCTGACCCCAATAGAGTTCAGAATATATATAAATGCTGATCCCAATGCATCTTTTTCATTATCAATATGGATATTAAAATCACCAACAATTAAGACTTTATCTGCAGCCAGCACTAGCTCAGATAGAAAATCAGCAAATTCTTTGATAAAGTCTGTATGGTGCCCTGGTGGCATGTGTACAGTAGCCGATATAAATATCACATGGGATCTATCATTAACACTTATTTCTCTAGATTATGTTATATGAAGCACCATTACTTCAAACTAATTTTAAACCACAACTCTGAGAAATACTGAAAATATTACTATAAATGGTAGCAACACCTCCCCCTTTACCTTTTAGACAGCTCATGTTTATAACAGTAATATTGGGGTGTAGACTCATTTAAAGTAATGTAATCATCTGGTTTTAGCCAGGTTTCAGTCAAACAGAGCACATCTAGGTTATGATCTGTGATCATATCATTTACAAAAAGCGCTTTCGTAGAAAGGGACCTAATATTTATTAAGCCAAGCTTTATCATTTGTTTATCTGTATTATATCTGTTTCTTATTTGTTGAACATCAATTAAATTGTTACCCTTAAATTGGTTTAGACCTTTTTTGTATTTGCTAGTTCGGGGAACAGACACAGCCTCTATAGTATGATATCTAGGTGTAGGAGTCTCTATGTGCTGAGAATTAACTGATTTCTGACGTGAGGCGGCTAGCAGACGGTCGGTTAAGCCAGTCTGTCTGCTTCCTGACCTCGGCCCCAGTTAGTCAAGTACAAACTCTAAGACTATGTGCCATATTTCTAAAGAGAAGAGCGGCACCACCCCTGGAGGGATGAAGACCATCTCTTTTCAAAAGGTCAGGTCTGCCCCAAAAACTCGTCCAATTGTCTATAAAACCTATGTTATTCTGCGGGCACCAGACATCCAGCCATTGAGTGACGACAGTCTGCTATGTATCTTGTCACCACTCTAAGCAGGGAGGGGACCATAGCATATTACAGTGTCTGACATCGTACTTGCAAGTTCACACACCTCTTTAAAGTTACTTTTAGTGATCTTCGACTGGCGGAGTCAAACATCATTAGTGCCAATGTGAATAACAATCTTACTGAATTTACATTTAGCATTAGCCAGCACGTTTAAATTTGCCAAGATGGCAGGCACTCTGGCTCCTGGTAAACATTGGACTGGATATGCGAAATATGTAAAGTTTGCGGCACAGACTCTTTAAAATACATCCAAGAGTTTTACACATTGTGGGGACATTTCCACGCCCCTAAACATGATGTGGCACAAAATGAAACGTGATTGGTTGCTTTACATGTCAGTCATACGGCCTCTTGGGTGGTCCTTGGCAATTCAAAGCGGCCAAGGTTCCCAGACCTTCTGCCGTCAGTCTGAAGTGCTGGCTACGCAAGACTATTACTTTGATGAAATCATTCTGTGATGCAATGGAGGAGATCAAACATCACAAACTATTAGACATCCTTGGCATTATAAAGTGCAATAATGAGGAGAAGAGATAACATATATCACATGTTTTTCAGACTGTTTTACTGAAAATGATAAGTAACAGTTGTATATTAAATTTAAAGGGGGAACCTATTAGACTTAATTATTTTTATAAAACTGTTGCTGTCACAAGCTTTCAAATGCTGCTTTGGTGGGCTGCAATGTAAATTAATTTACGCTACTTATAAAAAAGGGGATGAGCCACTAACTTCCTTTTTCAGTGAAACTTACATCAACACATTAAATAACCCTTTGTTTCAAGTAATATCTGTGCTTAGCTTAAATGTGTGATATGAATAAACAGTGCTCATAAAGGTTGTTGAGATTGTACTCAATTGAAAACGGATAGAGGCTTGGAACCGGAAACAGCATTCGATACGTCATGACTTAACAAGCGGATTGAAGTTACTGGATTTTGCCTGTGAAAATTCGCCAAACAACGGTAAATGTGACTGCACCTTCTAGTGCTGACTGTACATCTTATCACTTTTTTTTTATAGATCTTCCATATGACCTATGACCTTGCAAGCGCAGTAGTTCGCATAGTGAATCTGATTGGAATGATGCTGCTGCTGTGTCACTGGGATGGCTGCATGCAGTTCATGGTGCCCATGCTGCAAGATTTCCCATCAAACTGCTGGGTCTCCAAAAACAACATGGTGGTATGTTTGAGGATCTTGGGTAGTGTCTCAAAGACACACTAAACTGTTAGCAAACACAAAATGCACTTCTGCTTCTGAAATAAAATCTTAAACTTTTACATTTTGCTTTAAATTTGCCATATGTCTTTCTCTGTCAGAATGCCACTTGGGATGTCCAATACTCCTATGCCCTTTTTATGGCCATGAGCCATATGCTGTGTATTGGATATGGTGCTCAGGCACCTGAGGGAGCAACTGATGTCTGGCTCACGATGATGAGCATGATTGTTGGCGCCACCTGTTACGCCATGTTCTTGGGCAATGCCACCAACCTGATCCAGTCCTTGGATGCTTCCCATCGTCAGTATCAAGAGAAGGTACTAGTTGCTCAGTAAAGCATTTTTGAGTCTTTGTTTTTTTCCCCCTTTTGCCAATGGTTTTGTTGTTTGGTTTGTTACAGTACAAACAAGTGGAACAGTACATGTCCTTCCACAAGCTGCCGGCTGACATGAGGCAGAGGATCCATGATTATTATGAGCACCGCTTCCAGGGCAAGATGTTTGACGAGGAAAATATCCTCGAGGAACTCAGTGACCCGCTAAAAGAGGTTTCTCTTATATTTTTTCTTTCATGTTTTGGTCAGATCTTTCATGTAACTTGCTCCACCTCAGAAATGACTTTTCTTTTTTGGTTGACGTAATTAATTCACGGTTGTGCTGCTCACAAGGTCAGTCACATGATTGTCATCTGTAAACAAAATGTCTGTTTTTGCTTGGACAATTAATTGATTCATATTTAATGTAATAATAGGAAAATAATATCCTATTTATTATTTGATTATTGAAATATCCTAGGTAACACTTTATTTTAAGGTGTCCTTGTTACATATGTTACATGTACTTACTATTATAATAACGATTAATTATGCATAATTACATGCAAGTAACCCTAAACCAAATCCTAATCCTAACCCTAACCATATAGTAAGTACATGTAGTTAATTAATATTACTCAGTACTTGTATGTATAATTGCACTGTAACAAGGACACCTTAAAATAGTGTAACCATATCCTATTTAAAACAGGTAAATTGATGTGCTGTGTTTTAAATGGTTTTCAGTCTTGCATTTTATCTCCCAAAATAATGATCATTTTGTCATTTAAAAAATGAGCAGAAATAAGTTAACACAAACTTATTTACATGAGTGAACATTAGGTGAACATTTGACCAGACTACTTGTTTGACTAGTAAAATGATTAGTTGTGCACACCCTAGTTTATATAAATGTATATAATAAATATTGAAAAAATTATTTATTGCATGCCATAATAATGGCCCATTTCAATGGCTTACAACTTATGACCAAAGATGCCTTTCTAAAATCTTGCCAATAGTTTGAGTAAATTTAGTAAATCAATGTTGGTTAATGTAATAAAGGTTACAAGGTTTTGTGTCTCATTATCTCTTAGCATGTCTCAATTAAAAATGACAAATCCTTATCCATAAACTCCTTAATCTTAGGTCAGAACTAAACTGTCCAGTGGATTGGTAGATTACAATAGTATTCCTAATCCATCTTGTATTGTGTGTTTGACCTGCAGGAGATAGTGAACTATAACTGCCGTGGGCTGGTGGCTAACATGCCTCTCTTTGCGAATGCTGATCCTCACTTCGTCACAGTGCTCCTCACAAAGTTACGCTTCGAGGTCTTTCAGCCGGGTGATATAATCATCCGTGAAGGGACGCTTGGTCGTAAGATGTACTTCATTCAGCATGGCTGCGTCAGTGTGATCACTCATGACAATAAAGTGAAGAAACTGAATGACGGCTGCTACTTCGGGGGTGAGTTTGATTTTTTCCTTGCTTTTACAAGATTCAAAAAATGTGTTATCTTTATACACGGATGCTACAACAACGGACTACTGATACAAAACTGATTTGAGCTGATTGTGTGTTCTTTTCTAGAGATCTGTCTGCTGACCCGTGGACGTCGTACAGCTAGCGTCAGAGCCGACACATACTGCAGACTTTATTCACTGAGTGTGAGCAGCTTTAATGAGGTCTTAGAGGAGAACCCATTAATGAGGAGGGCGTTTGAGAGCGTAGCAGTGGACCGTCTGGAGCATGAGGGATACGGCATTGTGCATTCACACAAGAGTGTGGAGGATGATGGGGACTAATGGACTCACCGAAGATGACTGAATGTAGAAAAAAAAAAACCATGGTGTTACAGTGTCCATATAATTGACATTAATGACAATGTTCAGTTGCAGTATGGTGTGATTTATTTAATTAAAATAGTTATTTCTTATTCTTAATTTGACAATGCAATATATTGGAACATAAAAAATAAACTATATCAGTCCTGTAGATTTGATAATGTTTAGTTGACGCTTGAGATACTGGATCCATGCAATTAATTTCAGTCAGAAACCATTCGTTTAGCAGGGACCTTGATGAATGTGGTATAACAATATGTATGCAGCAATATATATTATAATACAAGTGCATTAACGATACAATAAAATTAAATGAACATAGCACAAAACATACCATAACATTACAAAAGCTTTTGTTTCTAAATTTCTACTAAGCTCCTTTAGTTTCAAGGAATAGTAGCCCTTAGTCAAGGAATTGCTCCCTGTAAATTGTGCATTTAGCAAAATATCTCCAAGGCAGATTTGAATATGTTAACTAAGTACAACTCAATGTTTAACTCTTTAATCTTGATGTCTTTGACATTGCTTTCATTAAAAAACCTCCAGGCAGCCACCAGCATGTAACAGTGTTGCACTTACTCGAGCTTTCATTATTGTTGTGCTGCTGGTGGAAGGTCTCTGGATGTATCATGTGGAGACAAACAGATAATCAAATCGAGGTAAATCAATTAAAAACAGTTGAAAATAACATTTCTATTAGTTGTTTTATAATACAATAATATACTGAATTCTATCTGCTTTCCGGATCAACATCGAGCACTTAAGAATCATGCACTGTAAGAAAAGATGTCTGCTAACTGAAAGACATGGATGAGCTTGGACATCTGTTTTGTCCAAATTTTGTTTTGTCCATTGTCCTCTTAACTTAAAATTAAAGTATGAAACAATATGAGTCACATATTCACTGATTAAACTCATTTACGTTTGGCCTGAGACCTTTCTTGCGATAATCGGTTATGATGAAAATAACCCTTTGAGAGGAGGTTGTTTTCAAATGTGCTTTTGATGAAAATAATTACTTGGGAGCAAGTGATATATGTTCATTTTAAATTATATTTTGTTAGTAACATTTCTACTCTTCTCTGTGGTTGGAAAGAAAAAGAGATATATTATCCCACATAATGTGTGAAATTATAGAGATGAATGAGGAGTATTATGGAAAAACTACTGAGATTTTGAATGTAAATGTTAATTTGATGTGTTTCATATGCCACTATATTATTAATGTATATTATTAACTGTTAAATACAATTGCTGTACATGAGTCTACATACAGTTTGGTAGAATATTACGTTTACCAGCTTAATGTGTCATTATTATTTACAGGGAATTACAATTTCCTTTATTTAATTGTTTTCATACCAAACACTAAATAAAACTGCACTTCAAACCAAATAAAGTGGTTTGTACTATTTATACTTGGGGCGAAATAATATATGACTATGAAGTATTTGACCATGAAGAAAAATTATTTGGACAATTAAACCAGACATAAAATTGTATTGGATAGATAACAGAATATAAAATCAAGTGTCTTCAAGTTTACACAGATATCAGTGGTTTGTTAGTTAGTTTATTTATTTATTTAGGGGCAATTGAAGGCTTTTACATTAAACTGTGCAACAGCGCCTCCACACATAACAGGTCAAAGCTGTTATTACATCCGGGTCGGTCACTATATTCGTTCCGCTGTTACATTTTATAACGCTGATCCAGGGAGATGACGAAGGTAAGCAGCGGTTAGGCTTTTCACTTGAGTTTTCTGTTTGCCAATCAAGGTTTTGACAGTTTCTCAGTTTTTGACAATCTCATATACCTTCTGTAAATAAATCCAAACATTAAAGTCGTGCAATGCCGCGGTGTGCGGTCCCTCAAATGTCATGGGTGTAAATATACTGGCGGTCACTGCGGGACGAGTCCGTTTTCAACGGGTTAACTTACTGTACAATGGCTGAGAGAGTTTAGCTTGTGTGTTTATGTAATGATGTATAATATGGAGGCTTCTTTGATCTATATGGATGTGTGTTTATTGCCGCAGCTAAACTATTTACACTTTCCATCTCTTGCCTTGCGTAACTGTTCCCTTTATTAAATTTGTCTGAAGTTTTGATGCATTTTGAGGGCTTTTTATTAGTATATGTATCGATTATGGTACAGCGTTGAACCTCAAAAGTTTGTGTTGTGAATTAATTTTATTTGCTATTATTATTTTGGGATGTTTAGTTCTTCCCTCCGGTCGACTTGTTCCCAACAAACATGCAAACATTTGATTTTGTGAACATTTATTGCAACAATAACATTAGAAATCCTTTTTTATATGTCGTTTTCATTTTTTTAATAATTAGTAATTTTGTTTTTTATTTTTATTATTTATTATAATTGTTATTTATTTTATTATTATTATTTTTTGTATTTCTACGTAATTTCAGTTTTAGTAATTTTTACACTTCATATTAAACATATTTCAGTATTTGAAAACATATTTTAGTTGTCAGATTTTTTTCAGAAATTATCTAATATTTATATTTAATTTTAGCTTTATTTTAATTACCAAAAAACAATTTTTAATAGTTTCAGTTTTAGTTAATAATAATGGGGGTCATTAGGACTGGAATTGTTATTAAACAGTGCACCATGTGGTACAGCTTTGGTTATGAAGAAACTTTCATGCTCATTGTACCATCCATCTCTTTCAGATAAGATGTTGTCCTGTCTCGGTTGTCCCGTTCTTAGCCGGGTTCTCACCACTGGGGCTTCACGTGCCCCGGTTGCCGTGGTTGCAACTGGTGCATCACACACTTCTGTAGCCGCCAGCACTGCCTCTCCCCCAAACTACATGACACTTGTGCGATACAACAGCAGCACAGCTCAACAGGTGACTAGTTACTCAAATCCACTGTCTGCATGATTGATGATCAATGGAAACTGGCTATAATCCTCTAGGAAACACCAAAGAAGACCAAATTTGGACCTCTAGCTGACCAGGACAGAATATTCACTAACCTTTATGGACGACATAACTGGAGGTAAAAAAATATGAAATTGTATTATGAATTATATCTAAAGACAGGACTAGGGATGTTCATTTCGGTTATTTTTCCTAACCGACAACCGACGCTCGTTAACCGATTTTTAACCGTTAACCGACAAGATTATTTTAAATTAGAATTGAATTAAATTAGGATAAGGATAAGTGTCTGTGACCTGTTAAAAAATACTAACATTTGTTTCCCGGGGATTAATTTTACATGCGCAAAAAGCAGCAAACAACAGAACATGAGGATTCACATGGTCATCATCACATCACGCAAATGCAGCGCTTCTACGAGCGGAGAAAAACATAAAGCTAGGCTATAGGGCTGTCAGTTTAACGCATTAACTTAATTAGTTATGAAAAAATAACGAGATTAAAATATTTTAAGGCAGATAATGCACTGGCTCCGCCCCCAGACCTGTACGTCATCTTACTGTTTATACAGTAGACTGATGACAAATATGATACAAGGCAGCAACTCCATAAATGCAGTTATGCCCTAAAATTCAACATATTGGGCTAAAAATGCCCCTGTATGAATTTTTGTCTCATATTTATATCATGTAATAAGCGAAATCACATGAGCAGCGAGAGCAATATCACACGAGTGTTGCTTTATGTTCATAGATACTTAGGTTTTATTCCACAATTAAAACAAGGAAATACGAAAATATTGTAATTTTCATAAATACTTTTTAAGAAAATGAAAGAAAAACTGTGCAACAAGCCTAGTAACGTTAGGCCTATGCAGAGTTTCGGTTCATTTTTGTGCTGCGCAAAAGGAAACAGACGGCAGAAAAAAGGTAAAGGCAAACCTTTTACAATTCCCATTATCTTTAGGATTAAAAGGAGTAGTTTCTTCCACTGTTAGAAGGAAAAAATTCAATTGATTGCACCTGCGCCGCATGCGCGCACTCAGTTAAGAATTGCTACCTTGACAATGCAGCCTGTTCATTATCATAATAAAATACATGGAACGAGAGTGAAGTACATAAATAATAATTTGCCATTCAAATACAATGCGAATACGGAAACATTTGATTTTGTGTCGAATGAGAGACCCAACGTTGGTTTCAGTTTCGTTTTAGCCTAAATGAATTCGTTTTGGCTTGTCTTTATTGCTAGCTTCTTATATTTTAAATTCTTGTTCTTTTCTAAATAGGCTACTGTTAATTGAAAGGATTTGTTTACAGTGTTTATTATAATGTTTGTAAACATTTCGCGTCGGCATTAGGCCTATATAGGCTATTTCTGAATGAAATAATAAAATGCGACTTATACGCGATTTATGTTTTTTTATACGCGTAGTGTATTTTAACCATGCAGCAAACCTTTTTAAATATTTATAAATTAAATGACTTTTTAAACCGTTTAACTGATTGTATTAATCGGTCAAAATTCTTACAGTCGGTTAAACGGTTAAAATGAACATCCCTAGACAGGACTTAAACTTACTTTTGAATATTCCCTATTTGGTATGAAAGCTTATTTTCTCCATTGAATAAAAAAGGTAAAAGGTAAAAAAAAAAAGGTAATTGTGACTTTTTTATCTACAGTTCAGACTTTTCTCATGAAATTGCAAGTACACACACACACACATATACATATATATATATATATATACACACACACACAAACGCATAAAAGACTCCATATATAATTCTACATATTAACTTCCTTTGTGTTTGTGTATATATATATATATATATATATATATAATTATTATTGTCACCATAGTGCATGTTTTTAATGTGATGAATTGTTCATATATCTCAGGCTGAAGGGTGCCCTGAGGAGAGGTGACTGGTACAAGACCAAGGGGATTTTGGATAAAGGAGTGGACTGGATCCTGAATGAGATTAAGGTCTCAGGGCTGCGTGGCCGAGGAGGTGCAGGATTCCCCACAGGGATGAAGTGGGGCTTCATGAACAAGCCCAGTGATGGCAGGTAGTTTTTCATCTCAACAATTAGCGGGTTTCATAAGTCACATGACTCTGCAAAAGCAGATGTAAATTCTTGGCCAGTGGAACTACATTTAGCTCTTTTCATTAGGATCAAATCAGGTCATACAAAAGCATACAAGGTTCTTTTTTTACCCTCTCAGGCCTAAATATCTGGTAGTGAATGCTGACGAAGGAGAGCCCGGTACCTGCAAGGACAGAGAGATCATGCGTAATGATCCCCACAAGCTGATTGAGGGCTGTCTGGTGGCTGGCAGGGCCATGGGAGCACGTGCAGCCTACATCTACATCCGTGGAGAGTTCTACAATGAGTCGTCCAATCTGCAGGTGAAAAAGAAAGGTTGTGATCCCTCGTATATCTGTAACATAATTCATTTTCAGAGACGGGAAGAAAGATTGTTTATTGCTAAGCTCCATTCCAGAACCTAATAAGCTGCCTATGGAGGCATCATAGACATGCTTCTGATGTGAAGCCTTCAAAAGGCCTGAATAATGAATAGAATACTGATTAATAAATAAATAAAAATATGAATGATAAATTCATTAATAAATACTAATATTATAACTTTGTTACATTGCACTACCATTTAAACATTTTTGAAAGAAATAATGTATTTTATTTGATTTTTTTTTTGCAAGGATGCATTAAACTGGTCAAAAGTGAGAGTAGAGAATTATAATTACAAATTGAATGTTTCAAAATATTTATATATCAATTAAATGCTGTAATTTTGAACTTTTTATTCATCAAAGAATCCCGTAAAAAATGTATCATGATTTCCACAAAAATATTAGGCAGCACAACTGTTTTCAACATTGATAATAATAAGAAATGTTTCCAAATCAGCATATTAGAATGATTTCTGAAGGATCATGTGATACTGAAGGCTACTGAAAATTCAGCTTTGCCATCACAGGAGTAAATTACATTTTCAAATATATTAAAGGTGCACTAAGCGATATTTGAAAAACGCTTTTGACCACAGTGTCAAACCTAGTCCCAAAACACACTTGCAGCCAATCAGCAGTAAGGGGTGTGTCTAGTACTGATAGGGAGAAGAGCGCTCAGTGAGTGCACAGGATGGATATTAGCAGATCGACTATAGATAGCGAGAGATGGCAGTTAAAAAAAATAGGAAAATTTTGGAGGAACAAAACATTAAAAAGAAGAGTTACGATCAGGCAAGAGGTAGGACCGTGTAAATATTGGAGCAGCTTTCCAGCGGTGGAGAGAACTCAAGGAGCGGGAAGGCCTGGAATCGGATGCCGAGGCTGCTTTGTTTCTTCTTGATAAGCGAGTTACGTTGATTTAGCTTTTTCGCACAACTATTCTGTGTTGGCTTTTGATTGAATATGACGTGGCCGGCAGGCATAGCAGATTCCGCCATCATCGCTGCCAGGGTTGTGTACATACGTGTGGGGCAGAGTTATCAAAATAGGGGCGGTCCTGTTGGGGTATAAGCGTGTTTGTTTTGGTGCTTTCAAATATCAACATCGTTTGGCAAAAATCGCTTAGTACACCTTTAAAATACAAATTAAAATAAAGTAGAAAACATTATTTACTATTTTTAATTGAAATAATATTTCACAATATTGCTGTATTTGGGGTTAAATAAATGCAGCCCTGGTGGGTAAAAGAGACTTCTTTCAAAAACAAAATAACCATATTGTTATTCAGAGGGGTTCATTTTGGAGTAAATGGGATAGAATGTACTACACAGTAGTAGAGGGAAGTAATGTATTGACCTCATGTGTCTATGAACTCAAGGAGCGGGAAGGCCTGGAATCGGATGCCGAGGCTGCTTTGTTTCTTCTTGATAAGCGAGTTACGTTGATTTAGCTTTTTCGCACAACTATTCTGTGTTGGCTTTTGATTGAATATGACGTGGCCGGCAGGCATAGCAGATTCCGCCATCATCGCTGCCAGGGTTGTGTACATACGTGTGGGGCAGAGTTATCAAAATAGGGGCGGTCCTGTTGGGGTATAAGCGTGTTTGTTTTGGTGCTTTCAAATATCAACATCGTTTGGCAAAAATCGCTTAGTACACCTTTAAAATACAAATTAAAATAAAGTAGAAAACATTATTTACTATTTTTAATTGAAATAATATTTCACAATATTGCTGTATTTGGGGTTAAATAAATGCAGCCCTGGTGGGTAAAAGAGACTTCTTTCAAAAACAAAATAACCATATTGTTATTCAGAGGGGTTCATTTTGGAGTAAATGGGATAGAATGTACTACACAGTAGTAGAGGGAAGTAATGTATTGACCTCATGTGTCTATGTGTGCTTACTCTCAGGTGGCCATTAACGAGGCCTATGCAGCAGGGCTGATTGGCAGGAACGCATGCGGCTCAGGTTATGACTTTGATGTGTTTGTGATGCGCGGTGCGGGAGCGTACATCTGCGGAGAGGAGACGGCTCTCATTGAGTCCATCGAGGGAAAACAGGGAAAACCTCGTCTGAAGCCCCCTTTCCCTGCTGACGTGGGTAAGTCAGAAACAAACAAATTTTCTTTTTTGATTTTCTTTTTTAATGTATTATTTATATTATATTATATTTTATTTATTTTATTTTAAATAAGTGACATGACATAAGTGACATGTTTGTAATGTGTTAATATATATATATAATTTTTGTTTTAGTTTTTTTTGTATAAGTGACATGTTATAAATGTATAAAATAAATAATACTACATTTTACTTAGAATGATGGCGGAATCTGCTATGCTTGCCGGCTACGTCATATTCAATCAAAAGCCAACACAGAATAGTTGTGCGAAAAAGAAACCCATTAATCTCATAAACCCATTAATCTCATAGCATTATTTATGCGATTCTAATTGCGGTGTAAATGCATTCATGAGCAGTCTGTGTAAATATACCTAAATGCTACTTCATATGCAGATTTTGAAAACAATGTTATGGCCACATTGTAGCCTTGAAATTTTATGTGTAATAAATTCTATTAGCATTTATATTTTTTAGAAGATCATTTAGAAGATCTGTCTGATCATTTAAGTGTTTGACCATTTGATCACAAGTTTTCCCGCTTCACAGACTGATGTTATTCAAGCTATTGCCCGCTTAATGGAATTCTATAAGCACGAGAGCTGTGGGCAGTGCACTCCTTGCAGAGAGGGTAAGAATTACTGCAAATTTATGTAAATATACATTTGTCAGTATTTACATGTATAGTATGTTACATTACAGTGAATATTTACCAGTCTGTCTTTTCTGTGCCCTTCAGGAGTGGACTGGATGAATAAGATGATGTGGCGCTTTGTGAAAGGCGATGCACAGTCAGCAGAGATTGACATGATCTGGGAGATCAGCAAGCAGATTGAGGGCCACACCATCTGCGCTTTGGGAGACGGAGCTGCATGGCCAGTTCAGGTAAAGGATATTTTAATTTGATTATATATATATTTTTTTAATTTATTTATATATATAAACAGTGTGTATATATATACAGTATCTCACAGAAGTGAGTACACCCCTCACATTTTTGTAAATATTTTATTATATCTTTTCATGTGACAACACTGAAGAAATGACACTTTGCTACAATGTAAAGTAGTGAGTGTACTACTCATTTCTGTGAGATACTGTATATATATATATATAAAAAATTGAGAATCCGTAGATAATTCGATTTAAATAGAAAAATTATTTTAAAATATATGTCCATAATTAATCTAAACTGTTATAAATGTTTTAACTGAAAATGTATAATATTTATATTTTTTTGTTCTCAGGGATTGATCTGTCACTTCCGCCCTTTAATGGAGAACAGAATCGCAGACTTCAAACAGAAACAGCAGGCGCATGCTTGAAAGCTTCATATTTGCATCCATTCTCACTCATCCAGTCACTTATAGTTATTTAAGCAAAACTGTTGTGGTCTCTCACTCGCTGATAGGTAAACTGCTGGCATCCTCCATTTGCTTCTCTTACATATATCAGGGACATTAAATAAAAGTCATGTGGTTCTTTGAACCCTTTTTGCAAATCTATCCCACCGTGATGATAGATTTAACATCATACTCCTGATTGTGGATGACTTGTGACACATTAAAAAAAGAGTGAAAACTGTTTGAGCAGATGCATCACTCATATACAGTAACTGAGTAAAGGGTTATGGTTGATGTAATTATGTTAAATCCCATTATGATGTTAATGCCATTTTTCTTGATAAGAAACTCTTACACTGTATAAACACATATTTGTGGAAATAAAGAGCCTAGAACTTGAAACAGTGTTTGTTAAACTGGGGTTAAAGGAGAATGTGTTGTAATTTATAGATTTAAATGACTATAATTGTGTACAAAAGTCTCCAAAAATATGAAACATGTCTTCTTGTAGCGTCCAGTCAGAGCGAAATCAGAAAAGATTACATGACTTTGAACATAAATAGATTTCGCTGACTTTCTAGGCATGAAAATCACTGGTTCTCTTATTTTTTTTAAAGGTGACATATCGGGTCCCCGGTGCATCTACCAACCCAGAAAGCATCAAAAAGAAGAACCCAGTAAAATTAATACTTTCTCTGCAAGCATGTGAAAAAAAACAACGAGCCGATCAGATTTCTCTCCCCCTGTGAAGTAGAAAGGGGATCTTATTATAATATCACCGCCCCTCAATCTGCACATTATATAGAGTCCCAGCCTCAGGAGAGCAGTGGATTTATTTATTTATTTCCTGAATATTACGCTGCTGCCACACAGATCTAAAATAAACATGCAATTTCTTTCCCAGCTGTTTACCTTCACAGACATCCGTCTGTTTTTGTAACTCATGTGTTTTTAACATTAACTTCTGTGTATTTGACAGTTTAAGCGCAATAAGACATGAAAGAGAACATGCCTTGTGATAGCCGGTTTCTGTGCGCGTGCTTCGGATGTGTGCGCCCAGAAAAACTAATATGGCTTTAAAATGCATGATTTCAGCGCGATATACATGATGATAATCAAAACCAAACAGATGTTTTGTTTTAGCGGATTATCTGAGGCACGAGCTGCAAATAGGGATGGGCGGATCGATCCTTAAGTATCGATACTTTCGATACTGATGTTGTATCGAAAGGATCGGTCCTCACATAAAAAAATTATTTAAAAAAAAAAAAACTTAAAAAAATATTACAAAATCTTACTGACCCCAAACTTTTGTGTACATGTAATATTTATTTTAAATTGGCTAGATGTGCAAGTAAATTTATTTAAACTGGTTGTTAAAAGTTCAAATGGATTGGGTTATGTTCTGTAATTGCTGTTAATAAATCTGTCAGAAAAAAATATGCTAAAGTTTCACCTTTAGGGGTACAACAGCCTGGCAGCCTTTTACAAAAATTAACCATGGTTTTATTACAGTAACCACAGTTTACCACAGTATTTGTAGTAAAACTGCAGTAACCACAAATTTACCATGGTAATAATAATGCATTTTTGTACTTATGTAACACCATGTTTATTTTTCATGAGGTAGCCTCAAAGGTGCACATTTGTAACTTATATACCCTTAAAGCATGCATACTTGTATGGTACTAATATGCTCCCTTTTAGGGGTATAGTTGCACCTTTGAGGTTACTGCCCCAGTAAACGGCTAAAATACAATTATAATATATTTTAATTCTGACAGTGTAAACAAAAAAGGCCTATGAAATGTTAAAAAACATGGCTTTAAAATCTAATATTAAGTGAGTATAATTACTGATTATATTCTATGATTAATTTAAAAGATCAGTTTAGTTTAGAAGTATCGGTATCGATATCGATGATACTGTGCTCGAAAATATCGGTATCGAATCGAAAATAAAATAAGTGGTATCGTCCATCCCTAATACAGAGTCATGCCTGAAGCTGTGCTGTAATAATGGGTTGATTGAGGAGTTGAGCTTATCTTCTGTTTACAGATCCCACCCTTTCCGCAAGCATCAACTCACTCTCCAGCTGCAGGCAATTCAGGGAGCCCTCTCAAAAAGTTACTTGCATTCACTTACATCATGCACTCAAGGAGACACACACACACACACACACACAAACCTGTGCACAATTACATGCATGCTAATATGATCATACAGCCAAACAGAAATAAACTAACCGAAAAAATATATACAAAAGGGGTGGTACCTTTTCAAAGGTACACTTTGTACTTTATCCCTAAAGGGTGCAAATTAGTACCTTACAATAGTACCAAAATGGTACATTTTAGTACTTAAAAGGTGCAATTTAGTACTGGGTACTGTCCAAGTGACAGCTTTTGTACCATTTTTTCTGTGTACAAATAAAGACACTTGGAAACACATCTCTGACTAATGTTTAAATGTTCTGTAATTGCTGTTAATAAATCTGTCAGAAAAAAATATGCTAAAGTTTCATCTTTAGGGGTACAACAGCCTGGCAGCCTTTTACAAAAATTAACCATGGTTTTATTACAGTAACCACAGTTTACCACAGTATTTGTTGTAAAACTGCAGTAACCACAAATTTACCATGGTAATAATAATGCATTTTTGTACTTATGTAACACCATGTTTATTTTTCATGAGGTGCCCTCAAAGGTGCACCTTTGTAACTTATCTACCCTTAAAGCATGCATAATTGTATGGTACTAATATGCTCTCTTTTAGGGGTATAGTTGCACCTTTGAGGTTACTGCCCCAGTAAACGGCTAAAATACAATTATAATATATTTTAATTCTGACAGTGTAAACAAAAAAGGCCTATGAAATGTTAAAAAACACAGCTTTAAAATCTAATATTAAGTGAGTATAATTATTGATTATATATTCTTTTAATAGTTTAAAAGATCAGTTTAGTTTAGAAGTATCGGTATCGATATCAACGATACTGGGCTTGAAAATATCGGTATCGGATCGAAAATAAAATAAGTGGTATGGCCCATCCCGAGCTGCAAAGGCACAGTCCTATTCTGGAAAAGGGGGCGGGGAGCAGCAGCTCATTTGCATTTAAAGATACAGGCACGAAAACTGTTACTGCTTCCACTTTAGTTTCAAAATGGGCTATTTTGAGCTGAAACTTAACAGACACATTCTGGAGACACCCCAGACTTATATTACATATTGTAAAAAGGGGCATAATAGGGTTATTTTAAGCAGAAATGATGAGCCAATCACAAGATTGGAAAAACCATACTAAAAATCAGCCAATCAACCCTGCTGCCATTAGGCCTTGATCAACCCGCTTGTTTTGACGTTGACATCTTAAGCCGCTTTTCCACTATTGGGCCGAACGGTTCTGAGAACTATCAGGTACGGTTCCAGTTGTATTTCCACGTGAGCCTGGTACGGCGCCGCACGATTACAAACCGTTCTCGGCCCGGTTAGACAACCGTGCTGAGCCGTGCTGGTAGAGTGCATGTGCGTGACGTCGCCACTCTGTTGCCTGGCTACCAGTTTCTCCATAGCTGGCTAAGCGGAAGCGCGCTATTTGATCAAACAGTCAAGTAAACAGCTACGCTACGTGCAACATAAAAAAGAAAAAAAAGGTCTGAGACAGTTTGGTCTGTGGAAGAAACATTTGCGCTTACTGATACTATACCCGTCGTCGCTTTCTGTTTATTTTATTTTTCGCGTCAAGAGTTGTGTCTTTTTTTCAGTTATTTAACGAAGTAAATATCGGATAAAAAAGGAATCCCAAAAACAGAAATATCTGATCATCGTACATATCGCTGTTTACATTACACTTGCGTTACCAAGACAACGACTGACGCATTTGTATTACATTCCAAAGAACTCCGTTATGAAAATGAAACCGTATCCGTGCTGACTGGCCCGGAACGGCAGGGAATGGAACGGTTAGGCAAAGAGAACCGTTTGGCCCGATAGTGGAAAAGCGGCTATAAACGCTTCAGCTTTTAGACAACCTCGATTTTAATTTACACTTGTGCATTTTTGCGTTGGCAAAGGTAAGATGATCTGTACTGGTATAGGATACTGTGGCTGTTATTACGGACATGCTGTAGTTTGAAGTAAGTTTAGCGGGTTTCTCAACCCTGCCAGGCTGCCAATAAAAATAATTAAATTAGTATAATTGTTTAATGCAGCGATTCTCAGCAACTTACCTCAGGTACTCTTGGCGCATGCTGGGCGTCACACTTGAGACTTGGGTTCGAATCTGCCAGTTCTTATTCCATTCCTCGATTCTTGATGTAAATTGCTTAGAATAATTAAAAGAGATGATGACTCATTGAAGATATAAGAACTGTAGACTATATTAGGACCTTTTTGGTGAATGTCGCAATTTCAAAGCCTGTTAAAGGGGTCATATGATGCTTTTTTAAAGATAATTATTTTGTGTATTTGGTGTACTGCAAAATATTTCCACATAGTGACATAGATATGTGGGGGCGTGTTAGAACAAGCCGTTTTAGGGGGGCGTGGCAGAGTCTTAACTTTAATAAAGAATATCTCTTTGGTTTTGAGACTTTAGTCTTTGCAACTTCAGGGATCTTATCTATGCACAATCAGCTTGTAACACTTCAAAGAGAAAGGAAAACTTGAAATCGCATCATATGACCCCTTTAAAATGTCTGTTTTACACCAAAATATAAGAAAAAAAGGCAAAGAAGCCTGCGTTTTAAGCCTAAGATTTTGTTTTCAACTCAACTTTATTTCCCCCATTACTCTGTGTATCTTGACATTTTACTTTCACTATTCTCAATAATGATTTTCATTACAGGAATGCAGTAGTTTTTAACTGTATATTACTAAATCAATGGTATGCTAAATAGTTTTAAAGGCAGTACAACAAATACTACCATGACGTTTTTTTTTTTTTGGTAATATAAATTTGGTGGGAAATGAGCTTAATTGTCATGAAAATAATGTCATAATCTAAAAGTTTAGGCTTCTTTTTCTTTCTTTTTCAAGAAGTTTCTCAGGAACTTGGGTGATCAGTGTCGCCAATGAACACGGGCAGGTTATCATGTCTTGAGGCGATGATCTCTGGCGTCATAAATAGGTACAAGGAAGCCGCGATGGCTCCTCCTGAGGTTCTGTATGTCAACGGAGACTGCTGTGGGTCCAACTCTTTCAGAAAAACATTCAAAGAGTGGAAGGACATGGAGGTCAGGTTGGACATCTCGGAGTTCATGCGACGGATTGCTGCGGGCTGCACATCAGAGTCCCATCAGATATATGCGACCTTCATGGACAGTCTCAGCCACTGTATTTTCAAATGGGATGAGGAGGACCTGAAGCAGCTGAAGGAGGCGAAGCGTACCGAGCTCAGTTCCGAGATCATCCAGCCTTCTGATGACGAACTAATGCATCACCTCAGCAGAAATGAGTTGGCCCTCCACTGTAGAGGAACCACATGTGGCGCGAGGGAGATCGAAGAACTCATTGCAGCGCTCATTCGGCTCTATGATGGGGAGGTGGGATGGGACTCATCAGGAGTGCCGCTCTTCAGTTCCAATACAATGGCTGAGGTATGGGATTCCCAGAAGAAACATTTACCATGTATAGTGGATCCTCTTGGTGTACAACTATATGAGCAGACTGGGACACTGGTGAAGGGAGGCCACCTTCTGCCAAACTACAAATGTGTCAGAGGTTCCACCTCCATTGAATCCTTCCACCAGCATCTGAACCAGCTCATTCCAGGTAAATACATTATCAGTCAATCAAAATAATTTTGTAAGATTTAGTGTACATACACTATACCATTAAAAAGTCTGGGGTTGTTGCAATGTCAACAATGTGCCTGCAGTATTGCAAGTGGCACATCACAACTAGATAACCATAATCAAAAAATCTTTCTATACTGCAGTATCTAAGTGTTGCAATGTTTGCAATTTGTATATTATATATCAGGGGTGCCGACTTGTTCTACATTACTACAAATTGATTGTTGGATGGATTGGTCAGGTGGAATGAAGCGACTGCTACAGCCTCAGAGGGCCTGCAGACACCTCAGACTTGCATGGGGGTTCTTCAGCAAGCTGTCAACCAGCTCAGAGAGGAAGTGCTTAAAAAGAACATTGTGTCTACTATCAGTACAAGTAAATACACAGGTAAGTTAGATATGAATTTCTTGTAGCTGAAGCGACAGTTCTCCAAAAATACAAACTCACCCTCATGTCATTCCACTATACAATGGAAATAGTGTTATTTTAGTAACATTTGTATTCTATTATAGTATTGTTTTTGTTTTTATATTTTCAGTTTTAATTTTAGTTTATATTTTAGAAATTTTATGTATTATTTTTTTTATATGTATTTCTGTTTAGCTTTAGTTTTTATTTTTATTTTTAATTTCAGTTAGTTACCAAGGAAACACAAAACATAAGTGCCCAACCAAAAAGAAACTTAAAGCAGAAAAAGAAATAAACACACACCGGCACACCATGGCTCGTAAAAAAATTTTTAATCGCACAAAGATTACATTTCAAGCACACAGTCTCTTCATCAGACAATTAAAAGTTTCCAAAGACATTCCTTTATATGTGATTAACAAATACACAGCACATAATGCACTCCCACAGTGAAAACACACACACATACACAGAAGTATGTCTAGAAAAAGAAACGATAATCCAGAGGCAAGAAACATCAGGTAGCCTAAAGGTACCATGATAATGCAGACAGGACACAAAATCAAAAAATAAAAGTAGACTAAATGTGCGAAGTCCAAATCTATACATTAATTCTTTTTTCTACTTTAGGTTAGTTGCCAAGGCAACATTTCTCATTTTTGCTTAAGTTACTAAACCCAAAATTTATATTTTATTTGATTTCAATGTTATATTAACACTAAATGGAAGTCAATGATCACCGTAACGGTTTGGTAACAAACATTCTTCAAAATATCCTTTGTGTTTCGCACAAGGAAGTAATCATACAGGTTTAAAACAACAGGAGAATGCCTAATTATGAGTTTTCATATTTATGTGAACTATCCCTTTAATAAAACATAGAATTCCTTTTCATGTGAACTGATTGGGTTAGAGTACCTGTACCAGCAGACTGGCAATGCAATCCAGGACAGTAGTTTTATCATTAGACAGATGGAAACCACTGATGTCCAAGTGGCCGGAAGTGAGGGCTGCTGCAAACAAGAGGACATTGGGGATTGGACAATCGCACAGCAACCCATCCCATCTCTGTTAGAAGCTTCTCCATCAATGTATGCAAAATATACCTCAGCTTTCCACAACATTTTGGTGGTATTTCCAAGATACACATAACATTAGGTATTAATGTGAGTCATTCGAATCTTTTCCAGGATAAGCCGAGGTGCCCAGTTTCAGGTAGAAGATCTCTTTCCTCCAATCACATCCTCACCGGCAAAAGAAATGACGGCTCCAGAGAAGGTTCCGTCCATTAAAGAAGAGGATAGTATGGAGTACAGTTGTGATGACAAGCCTCTCATTTCAAACTCGCCTCCAGACACTGTGACAGAAAACAACACAACACAAGAAAAACCCTCAACAGAACAACCTGCTCCTGCTCAAACCCAGTCAGGCTCAACATTGACTTTGCCCATTTTGTTTTCCAGCCCTTCTCTGTCAAAACAAATGATGGTGGTTTTAACACCTGCACAAAAGATTGATGCACCAGCAACAGTGAGTTCCCATTCGGTTCCCGTTCCTTACACCACACGGTACTACTGGAAGAGAAAACTGGTGAAAGAAAAAGATGGCATTTATACCAGGAAGTACTATGTGCGAAGATCAGAGGCTATCCAGTGCAGAAAGTGCAATAAAGAGAGAATAATGTCAACTCATTGCCAGTATTTTGGCAACTGGTATTGTGAGGAGACTGACACAAAACCCTTTGCTGTGTGGAAGGCTGAACTGTTAAAGCGGGGTTATGGAAAGAAGAAGTTCTGAAGGGTGGAATCAGTAATAAACGTCCAACTCCTTTCATTTTAATTATTCTTATTTAACACTATTTCTTCAATTAGTTGCATGTAATGAAATGTGTGATTTTGGTGCTTCTCACCAAAATATAATTGTAGCGCTGCAATAAAATCATTCATTGTGTGGCAGTGGACCTGAACTGTTTTGTCCATATTACTCAACACTTCTACTCTTCATAATTAGTTTCAGGCAAAAATATTAATTTTATTTATGCTTAAGGTCTATCATTTATTGCAGTTGGAACCTCATAATAATTTAAATAAGCCATATAAAACCAAACATTAACACAAAGTTTAGTCTAGAAGCTAGTGGAAGGCACCCATTTACTTTAAAAACAGTTTTTGGCTTGTCAAAGTAAAATTTTAGCATAAAAGATATAACGGCTGTTACACCAAAGCAAATTTATCCAGGTCAAAAAATATTTATGATGCACATAGGTGATTTAGCAACATATGAAACCAAAGAAATTATTTAGCTAAATATTAGCCCGAATTGGTAAGCTAGCTAGTTTTTTTCCAAAGTGGCAGCTATGGGGCAAAGTGAGCCAAATGCTGTGGGGGAAATTGAGCCAGCATTTTAACTTACCCCACCATAAGGCACTGAAGTTAAAATCTCTTAAGTATAACTGGTATTTTAATGTGATATTATGCAACAGGTTTAGTTTATCATATATTTCCATATTATTTGTAGTTTATTTGATAGGGACAGAGTACATGTTCACCAAATCCTTCTCTGATAAGAACCAGAAGATGATTTTCATCACATTATAATCATATATCATTCCACCTGTAGTCCCTAATGGCCTGTTCGACATTGCAGAAAAAGCTGCCATGCCAGGAATCTTTTGACTAAAATATCAGTCTACATTTATTCCTTCATTCTAATTCAGTTTTTATTTAATTTGACTCAACAAACTCTCTGTTTAGTCTGTTTTTGGAAAGGTTACAACAGAAATGCAAACAATTAAAAGATTGAAATTTAAACTTCATTTGGTTGGTTTTATGTTGTTTAAGTTAGCTTTAAGAAAAGAAATATGACTGGTTATAAAAGGAAATTTGATTATTAAATTAGTTTTTAAGAGAGGTAATTTATCTTTAAAATTTCACATGGGTTTGAATCAGATGGCCAGTTAACTTACCCCTAACCTGGGGCAAATTGAGCCACAGGAACACTTTTTTTTATAAGAAGACATATTTTTAGAACCCTTTGTCATAGATACATTCTGATAATTTAAAATGATAAGAAACATCCTGAAATGACTTTAGATACTTTCTGCCTCATATTCCCTTATCTTGAGGATGACATAAGTAAAAAAAATGGCTCCTCTTACCCCACTCTCCCCTAAACACACACACACACACACACAAACACAACTGTTTAGTCTCAAGAGCTATTTAAATCTTAGACTCTTCAAAAGTTGTGCATTATTTGAATCATTAAAAAATAAACCGTAAAGTATTTATTAAAAGATGGTTAGATAAAGTGACTTCTCTTCATCAAATAATTTGATTATTTAAAAAATTCTGAGCTCTTTCATAAAAAGATTCAGTTAATGTTTCCTTACTTTGAGCTTTATCTTATGAAGAATCATGCAACACAAAGAATGATCATGCAACACAATTGTGAGACTATATCCTGCTGTAGCTATAAATAGAATTCAGTGAAAATATCATATCAAGGTGACTTACTATTTCCTTTCATAGGACTTCTCCACGAGTCTTCTATCACCCTCATCTATTCTAAATACAGATAACCTTTATAGTTCACTTAGAGAAGTTAAAACGCTGCCTTGCTCCGTGTGAGGCTCGAACTCACGACCTTCAGATTATGAGACTGACACGCTGCCAACTGCGCCAACGAGGCTGTGACGACAAGCTTTGCAAAGACTTCTGGGAAATAAAATACTAAAATATTTCTTAGATATTTTACTTTGCGGGAAATGCCTACTTTGAATTTGTTTACATTTTTATTAAACTTTTTTTTTTTTTTGGCTTGAGAAAATGTTTTGCTTTTGTTGAAGCAGTGATTGGTAGTTGACGTATAAATGGCCAAATAACCGCAAGGTGCGAATAATTCTATAATTGCGCTGCGGCGGCCCCTAACGGGAGCAGCCGAAACAGAGCGATATGTAGGCTACATATTAAAGGGGTCATATGATGCTGCTAAAAAGAACATTATTTTGTGTACCTACTAGTTAAGTTGCTAGTGCAAATGACAAAATATTTATTTAGACTTCATATTGTTCACACTCACAAATAATAATGTGGTTCCAAAACCAAGAAAATTTAATGATTCCAGAGGATATAATTTAATTATATCATGTCAGTAGTCAAAGAACTACAAAACAATTAACCATATGAAGCCTACTTTATCATATATGATACATTAATTTCTAAGGCCTCTGCATTATGAGCATGATCAGGTCTTTGTTGGAAAAACCTGTTGTACACAATCTACTACATGCCTTCTGCTCTCTGACTGATAATTCATACTTATTTAGTAAGTAAAAGCCTAAAAAAGGTATCAGTTTGTGGTGCACTTTTTTTTTTTGCTGTGAAAATTTCAATGATTTTTATAAGCAAAACATAAGAATAACTTTTACATTGCTGGTAATATTTCAGTATTAACATTTACTGGACTGAAGAAACTTGATTATCCATGTTCAAATTAAGAATCAAATATGATACAACAGGCTTTTAAGGAATGTTTATTTGTACATCGATCTCCCAGTCATCATCGTATTGCACTGCATTATACGTTTTGCCATCACAATAAAAATGACAGAGCTTTGATCATAAAACTAAATATTAAAATATTTAATTAGTATTATTATTAGGAAATAAAAAGTGACAACTGATGTTTACATGCATTTTATGTAAGTAGTATTTTATACTGTTATAATAATCTATAATTATCTATAATATCAGCACCAAATAGGCTAGCATATTTTGATAGGGCCTCTGAATAAAGTTTAGGTGTTTTCCCCCCTTAAGTAAGAGCTCCATATTCTCCTTTATCAGACTACATGAGCCATAAAAGCCAAATAAATCACATATGATACAAAACATAAAACACAAACTTTTTAAAATAATTTTTGCAACTAAAGGTTCAATAAACTGTTTGTTACATTTAAAAAAAATAAATGACTGACTATTTTTTTTATATGTCAGACTTTACAGGCATTAAACTGGTGAATATGTATTATTTTAAGTATTTACAGAATGGTGCTCCATTGTGCTCAATGGCAAAAGGCCAACAAAACCAAAACTCAATCTCCCATGATGCCGTGCGTTTCCTCCGCTATCTCGCGCCTTTCCATCTTGTTCCTCCCGAGAGCTCAGCGCCGTAGTTGTTGTTGTGGTATGTAATAATGGCGGCAGCAGGAGGCGGATTACCAGCCTCGGCTGTTGTAGCGACCATAAACACCTCCGCCACCGTTCGCTGCCGTTTCCCAGGTCGGCCATGGATGTCTCGGAGCCTGCTGAAGACGGAGAAGCGCTCTCATGTCGGTCGGGTGAGGGCTGAGGATGGAAAAGGGCCGAGGCCCGTCGACGTTAGAACTACGCTGAGAGAGGATCCGTCACTGTCGCGCTTGCTCGGGCTGGCGGAGAAACACAGGCGCCAGCGCGAAGCGGGATTCTGCACGAGCGGGAGCGATGAGGTGAGCGCTTCGCCTAGTGAAATACAGTAACGTTACTAATGCGCAGCAAGTGCATCATCAGCATGTTGCTGGTGTCCGTTCCTGCAGAGATGTAGCCGCCTGATCATAGTTGCACCGTCGTGAGTTTTACAGATTACAGAGATGGAGCCTCTGTAAAGCATTTAAAGAGACGCCAGTCATATCGTGGGCTTTTGCCGGGCTGTCGAGCTCTCATTACGGGTGTTTAACTCTGGTAGGCGGTGTTGCCGTGGCCAGTGGGATTGTTTGTGGGTCAGTGACAGCGTGGTGTCCACTGATTAGTTTTAAGGGAGTTTGTGTAAAGTTATCGGCTTTGGGATTTAATGCCAGTGTTGTTGACAGGTCTGTTTTTCTTATTAGTTAATAGACGCTACGTATTTAGTTCAAACGTTTGGGAGGCGTGGCGTGCATCCGGTATATGATACACCTATAGTTTATGCATTCTGTTAGGAATCGTCTTTGAATTATTAAAATGTCTTGTTTCTAAAAATCTTAGATCCGTTTGTACAGCGTCAGGTAGCAGTGTTTATAAACAAATTCACCGCTTCATAGTAATTTTGTTAACCAGACACGATTGGTTAGAAGTGCAGTTCATTTTCATTCAGTAAAACTTTCTAAAGTACGTTACAATAAATTCAAAGCTGAACCAGCACAGAGCTCATGTTGAGCTTTGACATCACACCTTGTAGACTGACGCTATCCGAATATGTGCTTTGAAATTCTGAACTATCTGCGATGAGAGGACTATCCAGCATCATCCTTTCGTGAAAGGACAGTTGCACTTTATGGGGATATGAAAAACTGAACTTGATTCCTTTTGACCCATGAGCAGTTGTAAGTAGCATTGCATGGTTTATAGTAGGAGATGCTGACATGCATTGATTTTTCTCTGTGTGGAAATTTTTTTCTTGAGGTGTTTGAGAAAGACAGAGATTAGATTAGCTCGAAGACATAAAGATTCTGTTTTTAGTTTGAGTTGTATTTTGGAAATAATAATTTCAAAGTTTGCTGACGTTATGAAGTTGTTACTAATGTGAAGCTGACACTCTCTTGCACTTGGGTGCAGCTCTGCACGTTTCTTAAAAGTCCTAGCATTAGACATGAGCACAGAGGTTTATTTGTAACACTGTCTGTGATCATTTCACACCGACCTTCATGGATCATTTCAGCATGAATTCTTTTGTATCACTTTATAATGGTGGATCCTGAATTAACAATGGTCATGCAAAAAAAAATAAAAAATTGTCATTTGCAAATAAATAAAATGCTGTTACTGGCCACTATATAATTATTAATTTAATTAAATAATGCAAAAGAGTTTCATGGCCTTATAAGTGGTAAATGTTTCTCATTTAACCTGCCTTTAACAGCTAAAATTATCATAGGTCAGTTAGGCATGGGCCGGTATGAGATTTTGACGGTATGATAACCTTAAGCAAAAATATCACGGTTTCACGGTATCACGGTATTGTCATTACAGCTCTAAAATGTGTTATTTTTAAATGACTGGGTAAAAAAAAAAAAAATTTTCCCCGCTGAACACAATATATTTTGTTTTTGAGCAACATACAGAATATTAGGAACAGTAGAATTTGTTTATTTTTTCTTTTATTTGTTTCCTAAAAAGAAG